TTTTACGGAAACTCCGCCACGGTTTCCAACCCTCCTTAACGGGGCGTTGGACTGGCAACCGCCGAGCGAAAATTTTAAAATAAACTTTATGATTACATGAACTACTGTTATTTTACACTATTGACACCTTACTGAATAATTGATGTAGATCAGACTGTTACACAAGATTAGGAAATGTCCGTTGCATCTAGGTGCTTCTATGGTGACCATTGGTCAGATCATGGCTCGATTGCGGCTGAATACAGGGAGTTCGGAATTGCGATATAGAACCTGTGAGTTGGGTTCAACAAAAGCGCTCACACGCCAACTCAAGGTCGTGGCTCAAGCAAATATATACCCGTTGCGCAACTGATAACCTACTTCAGGAAACGTTCCCTGGGTATGCTGTGTTAACACTCCGATTTCAAATGCGGCAAACTCAACTTCATTGTAAATTTATTTTAAGGGCAAGGAATTGTTTTCAACGTGCATCAGTGTCACCTGATACGAATGCCTCAGAAACACGAGTTTCACTGCCAGACCTGCAAAATATATGACTAATATATAACAATTGAAATTTAGTCAATACACGTGCAAGATGCTGCAAACGATTCAAATACCGCTGTATCCGCTATGACTCTTAGAGATAAAATAAAGTGGCAGAAAATTCTTTTTCGGTTAATTCCATTTAGCATTACAAAGTAGAGATTGCTTACGCATTTCATGGCCCATCGTTGGAAAGGATATTATCTACAGCATTATCTGTGTGAATCAGAATCTCCGAAATGCCACTCCCTGCTTAAGAATTTCTATAGACTATATTACTTGGTATTCTTAACAGCACAATTACGCCGGTCGAGAACGTTAATGGAACTATTCCGGCATGCATCTTAAGTTTGCCGTGATATAATAATACCAATATGTATTCTATAGGAAATGTGATTTCAGTAATCACTATTCTGAAGCGTTCAAGAACATAATGACAAAATTCTCACAGAAAGAGATAGATCGGTCATCAATACAGCAAATAGGAGATGTTTACGAGCAGAGAAATTAGCCATTCATTAATTCGGCTGAATTTAATTTCCGTACATTATCCATTCGCTTACCCTTGTTGAATAAGCATGTAAGAAACGTATCGCCACACCTCTTCTGCAGCCGAAGGGTCAAATATCATAGATCCTTTCCTCTTCGTGGGGACGATGCAGCCGGCACAGCCGGTCACCCATCCCGGTTTCTGCTTATTCACCAGGACGTAATGGACGAAAACACCCACCTGCATTGTAGAATGATTCTTTTTTGGAAAAGCGTTTGCGTAATTTACCTGCATAATTGTCAACGCCAATAAGAACACTGGCGGGGGTACGCATCCATACTGAGCAATGTAAATCTGAACCTTTTCCTTCTTGTCTTCAGAGATGACAATGTTAGCCACACCTTTCGATATTCCATTCAGGAGTTTCTCTCGGTTCCTCGTCGAGTCATCCTAAAGGACTACGGTATTAACACACTCTTCCCAGAAAATAGAATGGATTCACTGGGAGA